AGTGAAGTGCACTATAAATCATTTTAACTTGAAGGAAAGATTTACTTAACTTAATAATAATAATAAAAATAATACATTTAATTTGTAATGCACTTTACATTTTTGCCAAAAAATCTCAAAGTGCTACAGAAAAAAAAAATAGAAAAAAAAAAAAATTCATCAACTAAGCAACTAACAAAACTAAAAGCACAAGCAGAAGGCTTTGTTGAAAAGGTTTTTAGTCAGCAGACTGTGGAGCCCTCAGCTGCTCAGGGAGAGAACTTACCGGTACTCTTTTTATTTTGCATAAAGGTTTATCTTCAGGCTTTTTATGACTATATTTAGAGATAGGACAGAGGATAGAGTCAGAAATCAGGGAGAGAGAGAGAGAGAGAGAGTGGGGAATGACATGTGGGAGGAGCCACAGACTGGATTCAAACCCAGGTCGACCAAAGCCTCTATGTATGGTGTTGGAGCCATGGATTGGTATAATTGTCTTTGTGCTATTTATTTAAGGTGAAGGTAGTCTGTTATATATTGGTGTTTTGGGTTATTGATTATTATATCATTTATTAGGATTGTGTTGAGTGGGGGATGTCGGGTCACATGGGTATGGGCGGAGATGTGTTGATTTAACTCACCTGTTCACCTTTTGTTCTCAGTGGAAGAGAGGGGGTGAGCTGGGTGGCCATATTTTTTGTTGACCGCTATTGTTTCTAGTTCACTGTGATTATGAGTTAATGCACGTTATTATAAGTTAAGTTGATTCTCTTTTTTACGTTAATAAAAAAGTCTAACTTATTTTTATGGATCACAGTATTCTTTTGAAAGCGCGTCGGACAAATACATTACACCAACCTCAGCCTCTCAGCGGCTTCAGATTCAGGAACGCTGCTACATATGGGGTGCACTAACCACTAGGCCACCGGAGCCCCTCTATACCCTCTTTTAAATATTTACATATTGATTTTTAAACTGTCCCACTTTATATTCTTTTATTTTTCAAGCATGTTGTTTTTCTCTTTCCTTGGATGTTTCTTTTATTCCTGTAGAGCACATTGAGTTGGCTTTGTATAAAGGTGTATTGATTTAAAGGAAAAGATAAAATCTGCTCTGTATTTTCTAAATTGACGAGATATCTGTTTCTCAAAATCCAAACGGCAGCTTTCATTAAGACTGCTTAAAGCAGGAAATGTTCCCAGACTGTACTGTTTTAATTTTGGTCAGTTTGACACATGGAGAGAGATACGAGTGTCTTTAGGTAACATAGATGATGATGTTATTATTTGTCGACTTTGCGACTTTTAGATCTCTGCAGTTCAGACACATCAGTCTGATTCGTCTGAATCAGCTGAGCCGATACGATACGATGCATCTAAAAGTGCATTCAGGCGGCTACGCTCTGACTGAAGAGACAACGAGGTAATTGATGAAAATACTGGATCCCCACAAAGTGTAACCGAGGCACTGATGAAATTCATGCAGCTCATAACTCATAATTATAATCCTGAGATAACTATCTCATTATTTCAGAAAAACAGAGCAAATCTTATTTTCTGATCTAGACACCTCCCTCGGGAGGAGACCCAGAGCTCGCTGGAGGGATTATATAAATGATATCCCTTCTGGCCTGTGAGCGTCTTGGGATCCCCCAGGAGGGCTGGGGGGAGGGACATCTGGAGCAACTTTCTGACCCTTCCTGAAGGTCTGAGAGGAGCCGAGAATATTGAGATTTTTTAAACGCAGTCTTAAAACTCATTTATTGAGTCTGGCTTTTATATAGCGCTTTATATAAATTCAAATCTTAACATTATTGTACTGTCTTTTTTATCCTACTACAATTTTAAATATTCTTCTCCTATGTATTAATTTTAATATCTTATTGCTTTTATGTGTCATATTTTATTTTTTATTTTTTATATATTTTTAATTCTTATTGGTGTGCATTAGTCTCTCAATGATTTTATAAACTACTTTTTCGTCAATAACTTTTCTGCACTCTTGTAAAGCACTTTGAACTGCAATTTAATTTGTCTGAAAGGTGCTATATAAATAAAGTTCGATTGATTGATTGATTGATTGAACTTGCTTAGCCTGCTGCCATCAAGACCTGGCCCCGGATGAGCGGAAGATGATGGATGGATGGATGTGATTTTCTCATGTGAATGCAACACGCCTCCATACCTTTGTGTATGAAATAAGTTTAAATAAATGTATCTCGGGGTGCTGGTGGCGCAGTGGTTAGTCCAAAACTTTTTGGACCTTTCGGACTTTTAGACCCAAAAAATAAGTAAAGAAATGTAATCCCACTTATTTTTATGCTTTGGACATTGTTAAACACAAGCTGTGAAGAACTGAAATCTTCAAAAAAAAACACTTTAAAGACGCTGTGTGTGGCTCTTCTCTCTGCAGGTTTGGCAGTTTAAGACAGAAGGACCCGTCTTCTCGTCTCCGTGTGTCACTCAGGACGGGCAGAGCGTCCTGTGCGGGTCACACGACGGTCGCCTGTACTGTTTGAACTGCGTTGACGGCTCTCTGGTTTGGACTTTCCAGACCACTGGGAAGGTGTACTCCAGTCCGTGTGTGTTCGATGGCTCTGCGGTGGGCCGGAGGGGGCCGCTGGTGGCTCTGGCCTCCACAGACGGCGCAGTGTGGATCCTGGATGTACAAGACGGACGGATGCTGACCACGCTCACTCTACCAGGGGAGCTGTTCTCATCCCCCGTGGTGTGTGGGCGCTCTCTTGTTATCGGGTGCCGCAATGACCTTGTGTATTGTTTACAGCTGACGGTGAAAGAAGAAACACAAACGGAGGAGCTGGTTTCATAATGAACACATTTTTTTTATGTCAGAGGAGAGAGGGAGCTGTGGGAAATAGATGAAGTAATTAAAGCTCAGGATAATAACGAGTCTGCAGCCTCTCTGTTCAGACATCAGTATTTAATTTACATTATTCAGAACATTTTGTTTCTCTTTAAGAATCTTCTCATGAATATCTCTAAGTGGGACAAAAAAATGCAAATAATACCAAACATTTTCCTTGTTACATGTAACACTGCGCACACTACACTATTGTGCACGACCGACGTTAGAAACAGAACGACAGAGTGACTCTTTCAGACCTCAGCACACCTCATACATACGTACAGATCATTTAGTGAGAGAGAACGCTGCAGGGTTTGATTTTTTTTTTCTTTCAGGAAATGTTTGTAAGATGGTATCACACCGACCAGGAAGTGATGGCCTACAAACACAAGAGTGTTACAGGAGGACAAAAATCTTATGTTACAGCAAGCAGGTGTCTGTCTCCCTTAGCGACAAAAAGAATCCAAATCATGTCCAAGTTCAGAAGAGCACTCCTCATGTCTCACTTTGTACGTCCTCGATCACAATCACAGTGTTTTTAGATACAATTCAAATAAAAGCTTTTTATTGGTTTACGCAGCTAATGTTTGCTTCTTTTTAGTGTGTGTTTTCAGGTTTTAACTCCTACTTATAGACTCTATAAGAACTGGACATATCCTCTGTTTGGAGAAGTGAAGCCAACGCAAAGTGCCTTAGACCTGCAGGTTTTCTAATGACCAGCAGGGGGCAACTTCACTGTTAGAAAACGACTTCTGATTGTATAGAAGTCTGTGATTAAATGGTCATACTTCTCAGTTCATTTAAGCCATTGATTAACTTTTTTAAACTATGTTTCAGTAGTTAATTGCAATTACTCCCCCCTTTGAGCAGCATTTTCTCATGCAATCATGTTCACACTGGAATCTGTGACGGATTTATAACCACATATAGACTTGTATAACATTTTGTAATTTTGGAAAATACATTTCTTTCTTGCAGAATGCTTAGAGAAAACTACAAGGATGTACTTCATTCACTAGAAAATGAATCAAAGCTGCTGATTTTCTGAATTAACAAGAAACCAGTACCTCCAAACAAAGTATTTAATAAGACAGTTTTAAGTAAATAGTTCAGTTAAAGGTCACATATTATTCTCCTTTTCAATCAGTGTAAATAAGTCTCAGAGCTCCTCAGAACATGTGTGTGAAGTTTCTTGTTCTAAATCCACTCTGATCCTGTATTTGATCATGTCTATAAACCCCTCTATTTCAGCCGTGCTCAGAACAGGCTGTTTCTGTGTCTGTACCTTTAAATATGTAAATGAGCTGTGTTTGCTCATGTCACTGGAAGGGGGTGTGGCTTGGCCTTTCTCTATGTCCTATTGTTTACGGTGAGAAGGCAGACTCAGAGGGCAGAACAAACACCTGGTTGTGGGAGTGTCTCCCACCTGGGGGAGGGGTTACTGCCTTTTGTGATGTCATGAAGGGAAAATCTCTAAACAGCCTGTTTGAGCACTGAATAGGGGAGCAGGGAAAAGAGAGGATTCACTTTTTTTATATTTGTGGGGTTTGTAGACGGGCTAGGGAGACAAATTATGGTCGAAAAACACGGTAACGTGAATTTTGCATAATATGTGACTTTTTTAATTCAGTAAAATTCATCTCCTATTTCAAAGGAGATTATTGCTTATTGATTATTAATTCAGTAAACAGCAGACTTTATTTCTCTCTTGTGAATTCTGCATCTGCTTCTGTTAAAGCTAAGCTGCCAATCTATACTTCTATTTTGGGTTACGCACTTAAAATAAAAATTCTGGCATTAAACAAATGCAAATGATTCATCTTCAGAATTGTAGGTGAAAAGTAGGTGGATTTGGTTACTGTTGAGACATATTTAAAGAGCACACACTGAGAAGGTCGTAGGTGTCAGGCAGGAGGACGGAGGCTGACGGAGACGGGGATGCATATAAGACACGAGAAGTGCTCTCTCTGTCAATGCCCAGTAACACTTGTGGTCTTAAGTGCTGTGTTTAGGTGCTCCCACTGTGTGATTCTTCAACTTTTAAAATGGCAAAAAAAAAAAAAAGTACAACAGCCTCTCTGTCAGCTTTCACAGTTGTTAACGGACACAGTGAGAGTTGTTCTCCTTAAAAGTAAAAATGACCCAAAACAAAAGGCTCAGAGAGGAGATCTTTAAACGTACAGAAATAATACTAACGAGGGCACAGAGGATGTAACACTTCCACCAGTGGTCCACAGGTGGCACTATAGTTAACTGGTAGCCCTTTGAACACAGACAGTTAACCCTCGGCTGATTACACACTCACATGTCAGAGCTCTCCAATACACAAGTTTCACCAGTTTTTTTTTTTTTTATGAGCCGATGGTTTATTTACAATGAAGGTGACACGCTTGGCTACAAAATAAAAAAAACATCAGGGTTGGCTGTTGCGAAGTGCCAGCCCTGCTTCTGATTGGCTGCTTAGTACTGCGGTGTGTTTCTATCTGCATCTATACGTGTGTGTGTATGTTTGTATACAGTATGTGCATGCGCGCGACTGGAGTTTACATATCTGTGTGCAGCTGTTTGAGAGTATCTGAATGTGAAGCGCACTTTAACATGATAATAGTACCAGACAGTGTGTGTGTGTGTGTGTCGGGGGTACGAGGTGATGGAGGGCGTGGCTTCACAGTCAGGTAGGTTTTCTAGGAGGGGAGGGGGGGAGGAGAGTCTGTGGGCAGTGTGTAGTCTTAGTGCAGGCCGGAGCCGGTGTGTGTGTGTGTGTGTGTGCGCATCTGTTTGTGTTATTTGATGATCTGAGGACAGTCGCTCCACGCTTTGGCCTTCCGCTTGGCGAGGGCTAGCCAGGCAGGCTCTGTGGACACCTGTGGGGAGTCGGTGGATGGGAAGCGCTTTGACACCTCCTTGACAGCAGGGGGCGACGGTGTGGAGTCTGTGATCTCAACTGAAACAACAAAAAAAGAAGAAGAATTACTCCAACATCAAGTTAAGATCAAGTAACATGTAAATAAATTATCTCTCTCTCTCTGGTGAAAATAAAACAGTTCTGCTTAGCGCCCCCTACAGGCCTGGAGGACTCTCAGAGTGTATGAAGTAAGATGCATCATTTTTCTGTTGCCTTTATTTTCTGATTTTGTGTTTTTAATTTGTAATATTAATATGCCTTCCACAACTTTTTCTTTTCATTAATGAGTCGCATTGTTTGGACAGACTCTTTGAATTTGCATAAATTCTGAATCTGAATCTGAAGTTTGAATTCATGTTTGATCTTGTTTCTTACATTGTTTTCATATTTCAAACAAAATAAATGACATAAACACCATACAAAAATGTGCATTAATAAATATATGTCTGAATAAATATCTCTATCTATCTAAATATATTTTTATGATTTTCTTTGAAATGTCTGTATGTCTGTATGTTTGTATTTTACAAAGAAGTCAAGGAACTGACTTTTTGCTGCAGCTAACTTATTCATTAAGAGAAAGCTTCATTTTCCCACTTTTTAATATCATCAAAACTTTTTAAAAGATGTCCTTCACAATTCAGTGTTAGGTTACTTTGTCATCTGTTTTGTTTAATTTGAGATAATAATCCTCAGTTTTGCAGTGTCTTACCAGTGACAGAGCTTGGTAAAGTGCTGGCTTTCTTCAGTTGTTCTCGTCGCTCGAATCGTCCCAGCAGGCTGTCGGGTCTCTTTGGCTCCTCCGGTGTTTGAGGTTTGGAGGACGGGCTGGTGCTGCCGCTCCCTCGGCTCTCTGTGGGGCTCAGCAGAGCGACCTGCAGAGGAGATGTGATGGATGAGAGGAGGAACTGTGGGAGGTTTTGTGAATGAAAGTGTGCGAGAGGGGGGCACATACACTGTCTCGAGCGTGCTTCTCAGCCTGCTTGGCCTCTCTTTGGCTGCGACGCTCGTCTCGGTTCTGCTGCTGCTCCCGGAAACCTTTCTGTTTCTGCAGAGCCAGCGTGATCCACAGAGGCCCCGCCTCCTTGTCCTGGACCCTTGAACTGTCCAGAGAGTGTCTGCTCTGCAGGGGACGGCTTCTCTGCAGGGGGAGACACACAGAGATGACATCAAAAAAAAAAAAGATGTGGAAGTGGGGGTTGAAACAACAGAGTTTTTACGATGCTTTAATGACAATATTTACCTTTATATCAATGGTATGTGTAGTTCAACAGAATCACAATTTCATTTTAAGAGCTAAAAAGCACATACTGGAGAACAGAAAAAATCTTGCAGCAGTTTAATTATGTGCACGGAGTGAGATCCTACCCCCCCCCGCCCCACCCGATGATGATAGTCTACCGCTTTGAGGTGCATGTGTGAACAGCCAGGTCAGGCTTCAGGTGAATTCTCCTGATTACACCCTGCTGCGTTCTCCATGCTCACTCCGACTTTCTGCAGAAAAAATGCTAGGGGGGCTTGCAGAAGAAACTCTGGGTAAAGTCAAAGTGAAACATCTGGCTGTTTGTGTTCACAATGCCTCCTGGAGTTATTGCAAGTGTGAAATGGTAAATGGTAAATGGACTTGAGTTTATATATTGCTTTTCTAGTCTTCCGACTACTCAAAGTGCTTTTACACCACATGTCACACCCACCCATTCAAACCCTTTCACACACTGATGGTAGTGATCACTATGTAGTATCATCCATCAGAAGTAACTAATCCATTCATACACCACCACTGAAACAGCGGGAGCAATTCAGGGTTAAGTGTCTTGCCCAAGGACACATCGGACATGTTGCCCAGGCAGGGATTGAACCCTCGACCCTCGACCTTCCGGTTGAAAGGCGGCAACTCTACCAACTGAGCCACAGCCGCCCTCGAAATCACTATAACTGATTATTTTGAGTCGTTTTAAAGTTCTTTGTACAAAAGACTTGACATTAACAGGGTACCTTTTTAATTACAAAAAAACATTCCAAATCTCCTGAGTTGTTAAAGAGTAACTAAACCCTAAAACCACTTTTTTCAACTATAAAACTCTGTATTTGAGTATTAAGTAGTGTTATGGATCAATCCAAGTCCAAATCTCGACATTTGAGTACAAAGTATTGAAATTCAAAATATTGTGTTAGAAATGTGCATAGTGTCTGCACTTCCGTTTGAAAAACTCTTAACAGCTGTGTGAAGTGAATGCCTACGTCACCAAACCTATAAAAGCCCCGTCACTTGATGCGGCAAACTGTCAAGTGGATTGAGAGAGCTGCGCGATCAATAGCTTAGTGGTTTAGTATTTGGATTGTGCTGTTAGTATAGATTCATTTATAGATTCATTGTAGAGTTGTGAGTTTATAGTATTCACAAAGTTAGTTGGACGTTGTAGGCAGTAGATTGGTTGTTAGATCTTATCAATATTAGTTAGCTAGTGGCTTAGCTTTAATTGTAGGTTAGCTTCAGCTCGTAGTTTAGCACAGTGACTTTTAGGAAACTTAGTTGTTTGATTTAGCATTTAGTTTTTAGAGTATTTATTAGATAGTGGCCAGGATGGGTCTGCAGTTTCTGCCCGGCTGCAGTAGCAGCTCCGGGTTGCACAGCTCTACAGCGGACCTGGAAATTAGGCGCCAGTGGCTGCCTGCTTTGAGGCTACCAGACCATGATCTCCCGCCTACAGCTTGGTAGAGCAACCATCACTTCTCCAAAGATTGTTTTTCCAACATCATGGAAGTGGAACTGGGATTTTCCAAGCTAAAACCTGATGCAGTGCCAGACGTTGCTCTCCCGGTGCCAACAGCAGGAGGACAGTCACAGCAGCTGCAAGTCCTTTGAATATTGAGGTGAGTGAATAAATAGTATGTTGGTAATAGGCATTTTATTAACATCACATGTCTGCTTGGCTAATGTTATGAGGAAATAAACTGCTCAAGGTAAATGACGTTGGCGAGGTAAGATAACAGGTAGGCTTCGCGAAAAGAGCGCACTTATAGAGATATTGGCGGTTAGCTGACAGCTAATGCTAACAGCGCTATCAGCGTCAGCGCTTGTGTCCCGTTGCTGCGGTGTCTTCATGTTCGCTCTTTTCCCGCTGCCTTTAATAATTATTGCGATTAATTAAAAACGTCTTTTATAAATTTAAAATTTAGAATTCTTAATTCTTGAGCCCGTTATTAACTGTTATCATAAAAATATATTTTTTTTAGGGATGAATCTCAGACTGACCCTTTTTGATGAGCTCCGTCTTCCTGTCCGTCTTCTCTCTCCAGGGGATGTTGATGGAGGGGAAGAAGGATCTCTTCTCCTTCGGCTCCTCCTCTCCTTGGACGGGGCTTATCCGGGTTATCGCTGAAGCCTCCTCGCTCCTCGTCGGCTCCTGGCCGGACGACTCTGCGGCTCCCGTCCTCTGGGTCAGGACATCACTGGGAGGCCCCGGGGACACTTTGGGTAGCGGCGACGGGGGAGGTGTGGGGACTGGCTTGGGCGACGTTGTTGGTCTGCGGTAGATCGGAGGTTTGGAAACCACTTTCTCAGCGTTAACGTGTGCAGGGGGACTGCTGGTCGACTTACCCGCTTTACCCCGAGGGAACGCAGGCGAGGCGGACGCATGCGAGTACTTGCCAACGGCGCCTTCCTTCTGAGGCGATGTTGGACTTGACTTTTCAGAGAAGACAGAGGAGGTGTCAGAGTCCGGCTCGATGGGGGTGAGAGGTGAAGGGACGCCGTCGAAGCTGTCCCCAGCGCTGTAGCGTTTCTTCCGTTTCTCGGTGGACTGCTCGCTGTGGAAGCGGAGCGAGAAGTTGGTCCTGCGCAGCTTGATGCCAAACGGTGAAGGATTGTCCTCCCCGTCTTGTCCTCCTCCGTCCGCTCCCTCGCCTGCCTCCGTCTCGCTCTTCGCCCTGCTCTTCAGCTCCAATCCCTCAGGTTTGGCTCCGGGACTCGGGACCAGGAAGGAGGGCAGGTCTTTGGCGAACATGCACTCCTCTGAGCCTCGCTCCACGATGCGGACGGTTTTACTCGTCCTGCTCTGAGGGCGGCTGGCTGGAGGAGGAGGAGGAGGAGGCGGAGTTTCAGAAGGAGCAACTTCATCCACTGCTTCTTCTGCACTGAAGACCTCCGAGTTCCTGTTTGAATCTCCAAACTTCTTCTTTGCGGGTGTGATGGAGAACTTGGCGCTGGCGGACATGGTCTTTCTGAGGTTGGCGTGGGAGAAGGCAGGCTGTTCCTCAGCTCCCGGCTGTTTGCCAGGCTCGTGCTCGTCATATTTCCCCTCCTCGACTCCTTTGAATATTTTCGATCTGATGCTCGCCCACTCCGCAAGGACCGCGGAACCGGACTGATCCGTAGAGAGCGAGGAGGACTCGTTGAGGGATTTAGTTTTACCAGACTTGCGGTCCGGTGATGTCTTACTCTTGGTGGGCGGGGTCCCCTGCGCCTTCCTGTCCTCTCCGAGACCCAGCAGAGACTTGCAGGCTGTGTCTTTGATCTGGTCCAAGTTGACTGCTGTCCCACAGAGCTGAGCGCCCGTGACAAGAATGGCGGTGTGGGGGACGTACGGGGACGTTGGCAGATTTGGAGAGTCAGCTCCTTCAGAGGACGAGGAGCCCTTGGTGCTCTCTCTTTGCTCGGCCGCGGCGCCGCCCTGCTGGCTGGAGGCCGGCGTCACAGGCGTCAGGTTCACCTTCTGGAAGAGAATCTGTTTCTCTCCAGAGGAAACTTTGAAAGAGAAAGGCCGCTGTCTCTCCTCCATCTCCTTCCACCGCAGCTCCTCCGCCCTCCTCTTCCTCTCCAGTGGATCCGAGCAGCCGTCAGCCTCCTCCTCCATCGACAGCCTCCTCTGCTCCTCCTCCTCCCTCCTCCTCCTCTCCTCGGCTTCTTGTTTCTTTTTCTCTTCGATCTCCTGCAGCCTCAGCTTCTCCCCTTCCTCTTTTTTCTTCCTCTCCTCCTCTTCCTCTCTTTGTCTCCTCCTCTTCTCCAGCTGCCTCCTCACTTCTTCTTCCTCCTCTTCTCTCCTCTTTCTTTCCTCCTCCTCTTTCCTCCTCTGCTCCTCCAGTCGCCTCCTCTCCTCCTCTTCACGCTGCCTGCGCTCCTGTTCCTCTCTCACCCTCCTCTCCTCCTCCTCTCTCTGCCTCCTTTCTTCCTCCGCTCTCATCCTCCTCTCCTCTTCCTCCCTCCTCAGCCTTTGTTCCTCCTCCTCTCGTTGTTTACGACACCTCTCCTCCTCCAGCTCTCGCAGCCTTAGCTCCTCCGCAACCCTCTTCCTCTTCTCCTCCTCCTCCTCCCATTTGAGCCTCTGCTCCTCCAGCTCCCTCCTCCTCCTCGTCTCTTGTCTCTCCTCCTCGTGGAGTCTCTGTTTCTTGAAACCGTCCAGGGACTCCACAGAAGCTCTGCGCTGCTCCTCTGAGGAGACGCCGGCCGCCTCCAGCTCCTCCTGCAGCACACCCGGAATAGAAACCTCCTGGAAGTCCTGCAGATGTGAAAAATATAATCAGTGTTTAAATTTTTTTTTGTCTAAAGCAAAGGAGGTAAATATCGCTTAATAAAGCATTGTAACATGGCTTCATTTGGCAGCGCACCTGGGTAAACCTCCGGTGTTTGCGTGACACTCTCTGGTTTTTAGGTTTGACGGCCAGTTTGTGTTTGGCGGCGGTGTTGTCCAGGCGAGGGACAGATTGTGGAACGGCATCCAGGTTGATGGACTCGATGGTTCCTGTGGGTGGAAGAACTCTCTTGGACCTGGGAGACTTCACCGGGGTGCTATGAGGTTCAGTATGTTGAGCCCCCTGGACCGGCTTCAGACACAACAACAGAGAAATAAAGAACATCCAATCTTACTCTATTAACCTGAAAAGATCTGATGGAACAGTGATGGCTTTATTCTGAATTTGGAAAATAAATATTTCAGGTTTTTGCCTTTCCAAACAAAATGCTGCCTAATGCACTTTTATCGACTGGTTCTACTAATAACAGCAAACCTGTCTAGAAGAACTCCTATGACCCCTCCCATGCCTTCATATTCTGGTTAGATCTACTGGATCACGCAGTCAAATCTGCTGTGACATCACTCCCATCTCTTGACATTTTACCACAAATTCAGTGCAGCTCAAACACTTCCACTTGGAGGGAATCAAGATGGACAGTTTGAAAAGGATCATAAGCAGTGCTCTTGTTTTAAACTGTGGGACCTTTAATACCCACAATGCACCTCACTCTCTGACAAGTTTGGGCGAAATCCAAATGTGTAGACATCTATGTTTGATTTTATGTTAGATTCATCCATCCACAAGGTGACTCATCATCCCACCCTCCTTAGATATCCAGACAGCCTGCTTTAGGGGCAAACTTTACCAGAATGTAATGTTTTTTAAACTAACTTAAATGTGGATGTGATGAGCTTTTCTTACTGACAAGGAAATAAAAGGAAAGAGCTTCTTATCCATGTGTTAAACATGAGTCAAAAAATTTCTTGAGTCATGTTTGCTAGAAATAAGATTCAACCACATTGAGAGAGAGGAAATATGTGGAATTATCAGCCCGTCTGTCCACAGAAAATACAGCCATGCAATCTCTCAGCACCTGCAGAACACATCACTTTATGTAGGAAAGAAAGAGAGGACAGAAGTCTCAGAGTGGCCATGTGGATTGAGCCTCAAAAGATTCAGCTGCTACGCTGACAGCAGCTGATGTAACACTGAGCTGCTGGCCTGCAGCAGAGATGAGCTTTGAGCTCCTCTCTTTGCTAACTTCACACCAGAAGATGATTGTTGTCACTGACAGACCTGTCTATGGTCTCCACACACAGCTCTCTTTTAGGGCTGACAGATATTAGGAAAAAGTGAAATTGCGGTATCTTTTCTATCTACAAGAAATACTGCATTATAAAAATGTACAGGAAGTTATTCCAAACATAGCAGGGAGTTTCTATAGGTTTTGTTATGGACAATTAGCATTTGAATCTTATGCCAAGTTTTTTCAAATTTTAAGTCTAATTTATCTTGGGCCCCGCACTAATGAAGAAAAACATTTGATGCACAGCACATTTTCAATAATGTGATCATGATATGAAGTACTAAAGAATCTGTAGTAGTTTTAGCTATGGCTGTTCGCAGCATGTTTCTCTAAAAATCAAGCATTTTATTTACCATTTAACCTGCAGCAGTTACTCTAAGGATGGCTGATGCATGGCTTTAAAATGTACACAAGCTGAGTGAGAAAGCAGGACTTTGCAAAAAAATACTGGTATTTATCAGGATAAATTCAGACCTTTGCCAAATGTTTACTGCAAAAGCTCTTACTAAGTTAACCATAAAGTTGTGATTTATCATGCAGCACCTTGACCTTCACATTTTATTTATTCAGAGGTACTTCCTCAGACTTGTAAACAGACTCCAAGTTTTAAAATGAAGTGAGTTTGCCTTTAAAATGTCATCTGAAAAGTGAATAATGTTTGTGCTTTACCTTTGTCTCTGTGTTTGCCGGCTCAGACTCCACCTGAGCCAACACCTTCAGAGGACTGCGCGGAACCTCTTCCTCATCTGAACTCTCCTCATCTCCTTCACTTTTCCTTAGACAGGGAGGCCTCTGGCCAAACTTGATACCCTGTGCGATCTGCCTCTGTGTGACCAACAGAAAAGTTGCACATTGTGTTTTGCAGGACAGGAGGAAAAAAAACTGTTTTAGAAAAAGAGAGAGTAGCACTCGGCTACAAGTCCAAACCTGCAGATTCCTGACTTTATCTGAGACGTTTTCCTGCGACATGCTGTGATCCAGACCGGCCTCGGTCACCGGCTCCTCTGGGATGAAGATGCTGTCGTGAGAGAGAGCTCGAGAGCCGATGGGATTCAACTCCCTGCGAGAAGAGGAAAGAAGAGCGAGAGGAGGAGGAGGAGGAGGGAGACAGAGAAGAGCGTGTCATTACTGTCAGTCGTTCATTCATTTATCATGAGACAGCTTCAACATGAAGTCGTTCCACACAAAGAAATGAATGACTTTTTAACACACCAGTAGTTCGAGCCCGCCAATTAAAGGCGCGTTGAGCCATTTACAAGCTGTATTTAAATCCTCAACGCTCTCTCTACAGATTGCATAACCACAGTGTTTATGAGCATTTATGAGAGACGTTTTTAACACTTTCATTTCTTGTCAAAGAAGACAATATGTTGATCCTGACCGTCTAAATACATACATGCCCTATATTATTGATAAGACCGTTTCTTTACAGCTTTTATGAGCGGTAAGTCCAAAGACACAAAGGAAGGCTCAGTTTCATAATGTGTAAATCAAACAGTAAAAATGAAACTCTCTGCACTCATTCACCTCAAATTTGGATTGGGCTCGTCCTCGTCAGACACGACTCCATTGCACACTTCCCCGGTAGAAAAGCTCGCCTTCAGCTCTGCTCCATCCAAGCCCCCCTTCACCTCCCTCTTCTTCTTCCTCCCAAAGAGTCGTCTGAAGGGCTGGAATTTGCCCTGTCGCCTTCTCTCTGCCGGGCCGAAAGAAAAAAACAGATGACAACCACAGAACACGTGCAATCACATCATCAATCCTCATGTTTCCCCCCCATCGGGGCTGGGTCACGAGCAGGACGGTGTTTATGGGCGTGTTTGTGTGTGTGGATAATGAAATGCCAGTGACTGAATTAAAAAAGGAAATAAATCAAAATAGCAGATGGAAATGAGAAGAAAACCTTGGCTCTTTTGTTTACTCTTACTTTACAGGAAGTGGGGGAGATAAACAACAACAGGCATAAAAAAGGAAACACCCAAAGACACAGCAGCTCCAGAAAAACTGAAAACAAATCCAAGAATTATCAGCTTGAACAGGAAAAACCCCTCTCCATGATTGTTCCCTGGAATAAAAAACGTCCTGCATGTCCACATGGCTTCAGGAGTTAAAGGGAAATGCTTTTTAATTTTTAAACTTGATCCCTATTTTTAGATGTTTTTGTGTGAACAATCAGTAGATTGATTGATCCTGCAGTAAATAGGCTGTAACTGCTGCAAAAGTAATCCTGGGATGAGATGGACCTGATCAAAGTGTGTCAACTGAAGGTTGTTTGTTTTTTGTCTCTGACAGGCTCACAGTGTTATTCTAAGTGTCTGATAAAGCCAATTAGCCGTTACACCACTTCAAACCCACCAGTCATCTCACTCTCTGAACATGGGAGTTTATGGTCTACCAAAGCAGCAACATCCAGAAACTGATGCAGAAATTTGCAAAAAACTTCAGTTCCTCCATTTTCTTTTTATAACCACCAGTTTTGATTTATGCAGGATATGAGTTATGCATTACAGACCTTTCTAACACACTACCTGAACATAAAAATCATTGCTTGACTCTCATCTCATTTGAATGTATTTTGTCTGTATTGTTGCTCTGTATCTTTGCTCATGTTTTGCTATTTCGTCCGTTTTATTTATTGTTATTTTAATTTTTGTTTTATTTTTGTCTTTGTTTGTTTGTTTGTTCTCGCTTTAGTTGTCATTTCTATATATTCTTGTTTCATTTTGTTCACCTTATCACCAATAAAAAAAAAAAAAAAAAAAAAAAGTTATGCATAACTAGGGGTGTAACTATTCTGACTGCAAGTGGCCACGTTGTAGCAGTTTGTCAGGAGGCTTAAGGTCCACCTTTGTGACTGTCCTTTATTTCTTGTTGGCTGACTTTTGTCATCTAAGATAGAGCGAGAGTTCCTGAGTCGATAAGAATTAAGTTGTTTTATGTTAGCAAGCTGACGACATCTACAGAGTGATTCCAAATGTCTAAAGTCTAAAGTCATTAAGAAATGAAAACATTACAAATAGTGCCCAGGATTAAAAACACCAGGATCTCCTTTAAACATCTAATGTTGGTTTTGTATCATAATTGAGCGCAGCACTTTAAGATTTCCAAACGTTATGTGATGTGTAACTAAAGGAAAGAACTTTAATTATGGCTAAATGACACACATCACAGATAATGACTGTGCAGAATCTCTGAGTTATCAGCAGTTCTTATCTGTGGAACACTAAGGGAGAGCTCTTCTGAGATAAAACTGCAGTTTGTGTTGCTTACTGCATGCCAGTAAAAGTTTGAAACTCTTTTTAGGATCTTACAAAGAAGCTGAACTTTCCCTGGAGAGTTGTTGACATTTTTTTTTTCAAGTTTACAGCTATCTTGTTTATTTAACTTAAAACATGTGATACAGAGAACTGCTTTGTGTGTGTGTGTGTGTGTGTGTGTGTGTGTGTGTGTGTGTGTGTGTGTGTGTGTGTGTGTGTGTGTGTGTGTGTGTGTGTGTGTGTGTGTTCGACCTAAGGTTACACAGCTACAAAGCCACTCTACACCGACGAGCACACGGCCGTTCTCAGGCTCTGTGGATCCCTTTCAGAGCTATAAGTAGCATCTGGTGTGGGATTTCACTCCACATGCAAAGCATCATGGGAAATTATACAGTAAACTCATTTCCCCCACTTTGAAGTGCGTGTCATTATTTCCCCGTGCTGGAGAAAGTCTGTAAGCATTAATTTACTGACAAAGGAAAGAATATAAATGCATTTTGTTCTGTGTTTAAAAGACTGAGAGGGAATCCTATTTATCCAGATAAATAATCAATCAAAATCAATTGTTTCTACCAAACACTTCAGAACAAGGCAGAACCATATTTGTTAGAATCCAACACGTACAGTCACAGTCACATCTCCATGTGTTCACCGTTGGATAAAATGTGACTTTTAGATTTCAAGACAAGTGCTTAAGAGGAGAGAGTCCAAATGATCTCACTGTCTTTATTGCTTTTTCTTTTGACAAAGAGAGGCAGAAGCTCAGTCTGAAGGGACTTGGGCTGGGAACCGGAGGGTCACTTGTTTAACAACCAGAAAGACCGAGCCTGGAACTTGGTCTGCTTTATGGAGAGGTGCTGGTTCACTTACTGAGCACGGCTGATGTGCCCTTGAGCAAGGCACTGTACCCCGACTGCTCTTTCATGTGCAGCCCGTCACTCTGACATCTCTCCATTAGTGCAAGTCCATAGGATGTGTGTGTGTTTCAGCCTATGTGTGTGTAGGATGTCTCAATAACAGGGGTAACAGTAATTTCCCCTTGTGTGATAAACAAAGAATAAAAATCTGATGGGGTCGACTATAAGTCTACAACCAATCACATTCCCCACATGAAACAGGAAGATAAACACCAGATTACTTCTGTATATGACGATATCTAACCTCATACAAGAAAAGCCATTTTTATCACCCTGCAAAAAATGTCTTTCAAAATTGTACCATACATGTTTTAATTATTATAAAAATCTGTAAAGCCCATTTTAAATATGCCAAAAAATATATATATATATAAACTGAGTGACCTTTACAAGTGTCTCGTTCTGTCCATCCTGAGACTCTTAAGAGCATGAAGACAAAAAGATGATTTGACTTATTTCTCGTTAGGAGCTTTAAAAACTTGATTGACTGACAGAGCAGAAACTCTGTGTCACCTACTGTACGCTCCATTAAGAGATTTATCTCTGTACTCTTTATGTTTGAAGTGACTCAGAGTGATTATGAGAATTTTAATGCTCACTTTGTTTTGTTAATCCTTTTTTGCTCTGCTAGTTATATCCTTTTTTCTTTTCCTCATTGTTCACTCATATTTAGGATTAGAATGTCTAATTGAGGACAGAGATGTCATAAAGAAACATTTGATATAAGAACTTTTATGTAGGGCTGCAGCTAAGGATTCTTTCTGTAATCTATAATCTAATAACGATCATTTTCATGATAAATCAATGAAACATTTTGACTTTAAAACATCAAAAAGATGTAAAAAAATACTCATCCCAAGTGTCCCACTGCCTAAAGTCACATCTTTGAATGTCTTTTTTGCTTTTGTTCAAACCAAATAATTGAAGATTTTTCTTTAAATCTGAAATTCCTAAACTTAAGGTCAATGGAACCAACATATCCAAAACACTGCATCTCTGATTCTGATTCTGAAAAGCCCCAAAATGAATGCAAAACTCCACAGGATGTGTAAGATGTTATATTGGTGTGAAACAGTATTTAATTTCATCATAAATGTTTTTTTTCAATTAACTCATCATATCTTCTGTTTTATAAACATTGAACAATTTACTTGGGTGTTCTTTTATTGTGTAGTTCGCATAATTTCACCTTGAACTCCTTATTTTTTATTTTTTTGTGTTGTATGGAATGAATAGTAATTTGTTTTGAAAAGTTTTAATAGCAAAGCTACTCCTCCACATGTCCATTAATCAATCTGGAGCATGGAGCAGATCTCACAGGCTTCAGCTTCCATTGTGGCTTTTTGCAAAGCATTTAGATTTGCATTTGTCTAACAGTCCTGGCCACAATCAAATCAATCCAAATCAAAATAGTTGGTCATTCATTTTCTTCCAATCAATATTAATTTAAACGTTGCAGCTCACATTTATGTTTTTGTCTGATAATGTTTCAGGCGTGCAGAACTCAACAGAATGTTCTCTGGGGATTCATTTTTGATGTATTTATTTAATATAGTTTTTTCTACCACGATATACCTCATAAAAGTGGTAGAACTAAATACACACCTCATCCTCAGATCCGCTCTATTACTTTTTCTGTCTGTGAGCAGCGAGATATATTTTCTGTGTGACACTGATGTTCTGTTTCCCTGCAGCCTCTTAGTCTTTCTACTCTGATATAAAGCCCATAATGCATTGCCACGGGCCTGTACACACACTCAGGCGTGAAACCAGAATGGACAATTTTTCCTGCAGCGTCTAGAGGACTGAGACAGCACCAGGCTGTAACTCAGGGGTTAACTTTGACTTCCTGTGTGCTCTTACTGCAGTTTTGTTTTTGACCCCGATCCTCTGCTGATGTTTCACTCTAGATATCTGATCAGGAAATATTTCACATGTCGTGATGGGAAATTAACAAGTTGAACATCAGCAGGAGGCTGGCTGATTTAAAAACTGAGTGCAGAGTAACATTCAGGCTGCTTTAAACTCGATTAATGGATGTGATAATGGACAGTTTGTCAGTTTGGTGAGGGCACATGTTTACTGTTTTGCAGTGTTCAGTTTAAAGATCGATACCACTTTCATGTGTGTCTGTTCAATATGAAGCCAGAGCTGCTAGCCTGTTAGCATAGGTTAGCATGAATACTGGGGAAATCGACCAGCCTGGTTCTGTACAGCGGCTTTCTCTTTGCCACTTTGAGAGTAGCAGAAAGACATTTTAAGCATGCCCTCATTGCTGCTGGTTGTCATCTCTGCACTCTCAGTTGAAATCAGTTCAACTATCAACTAGTCTGACTCTGGGCGCAGGTAGCGTATAGTGGTAAGAGCGAGCACCCGGTTTCTGACTCTGTCCGCTCTCCTATCTAAAACAAAATGCATTAAAAAGCCAAAAAATAATAATAAATCTGACTCGTCTTGAAACTATTTCCAGGCCGAGCTGCTGCTAATTCATCAAAGACATCAGCGGACACAGATTCTAATGCCATATATATATATATATATATATATATATATTTTAAAGCTCTG